TTAAATTCCACTTTATTGTTCTTATGGCCTAATCGAGTTTAGATGTGGTGTATGTAATGACCATGCTATATTGTTTATCATGTATTAATTGGAGGCCATTTGATTGAGATTTGAAACCTAGAGAATTTTATTAGTTTATTGATTAAATCCTGTTTCTATTGTATTATTGATTAACTCATGTATTTGACATTGATAGTATGTTTAAAGCATGACTTTTAACTTATAATGGATTTATGAGTTATGTTTCAATATTGGATTATATTGTTATAGCGCGTAACAAATCGCGCTCTGAAGATTCGACATGTGATGTTATTATAGCGCGTAACGAATCATGCTCTGAATATTCGACATTGTCATCCTATAGTAGTTGTGGATTTAGAGCACGTGTTATGTGGTTTCAGCCTACTTGTGCATGAAGGTAGTTTCGTGTACTATTCAATACGTATATAAGTTGTAAACTTATCTATTTATTTTGGAACCACTTGGGACATTGCATGATGGCTAGGGTTTGGCTCTAGTACGGGTACAAGAGTCCTCTAAGTCAAAAGTTCGCGCGTTGGGTAGGTTGCCTGGGGGTTAGTAGTTCCAAATTAGCCCAAAAAAGTTCGCGCGTTGGGTAAGCTACCTGGGGGTTAGTAGCTCCAAATTAGCCCTGTATCGGTCTCATCCGACTGATGTCCAAGTCTTCCACCATTTGTTTTCGCATTCAATTCCAAGTTATCAATCATGTTTATATTGTGACTATGGTTTTGGCTATTGGCGATTTGATGTTGTTAAGTACATCCATACTAAATTGCTATATTTAGTTCATTCAGCATTTAGATTTTAAGTTAATAACTTTGAGAATCTATATCTAGTTGCTTTGTGTAAGCATGTTTCTAACTAGTTGCTTTGTGTAAGCCTGTTATATCTTGTTGCTATGTGTAGCATGCTCTTGTGTTGTTGAAATTGCATAAAGGATGTGTTTTATGCTAGAAATGATCTTAGGTAGTTAGGATGCTCCCTGAGTCTCACCTTTGACATAGACGTTAGGTGGAATGAACCACAATGATTAAATCATGTACACTTGTAAAATGTAGGTCGATGGATGCTCATTTCCTACGAGTAGCTTTATGTTACTCACCCCTACGATACTGGGGCATATTTCAAGTACAGGATACAAGATTGGAGATTGCAATTGCTTCGGTGATTTGCTGAGTTTAGCTTCTTTAGAAGCATTCTTGTTCACATGCAAGTGTTAGTATGTTCGTGATTTGTCTATGAAATGTAATTTTTCTAACTGGGTGGTTTGACATGTCAAATGTTGTAAATGTATTGTAATGAGGCCATAGGCCATTGTAGCACATCTATTTTATCATATTACATACACTTGCATGCTCACTTTGGCAAACAATACCTTCCTTGATGAAACAAAAACTCTAAGTAGCATTTTTAGGGAGTTTTACCCTATTCTGTTCCAGGGGCATTTCGGGTATTTCATAATGCATTTTTTTTTCATTTTTCCTAATGTGTCACATCGAAAACTCAATTTTGAGGGGGCTTTCTTCTTTGTGTTTTTCCAGAAAACATCATCTTGGCCCTCAAAAATTAATATTTTTCCGAAAAATCCTTGCTGCCAGGTTTTGCAAATTTTTAGTACAAATGTAGTTGGTACTATTCACCAACCTTTTTTTAAAAATCGTCACGACCGATCCGAAACTGCCGGAGGTCTTGTGGGTGTATTTTAAGATTGCATTTTCAATTTAGGCAACTTAAAAACCTCCCGAAGCCCTATTTCCAAAACTTGGGCAGTAGCTCGAATTAGTTTTTTCCCTCTTGACCTGATTTTCTTGGGGGCATTCTGGGCATTTTACATTGCATTTTTTTGTTTCCGTCAGCCATCAGGGTAGGAAACTTGATTTTAGGGGGGTTTCTTCTTTGATTTTTTCCAAAAAAGTCCGTTTAGATGCCTATTTGTACTCTCAGTTGCAGCAGTGTTGGGTTGTCCTCGTCGGGCCGCCACGACATCATTTTTGTTTTTGACCTTTCTCTCCCGTCCGGACTCCAAATTGAGTAAAAAAAAATTTGAACTTCACTAATTTGTCATTGTCTTTCCAACGGTGTTCTTGATAGCACCTGAATCCATTTTTTGTAAAATGACCATTTTGCCCCTAGGTTCTTTTTGTCCGTTTTTGAAATGACACTTCTGCATTTGTTTCCTTTAGGTTCCATGGCCTCATTGAGGGTCACATTGGTGTCTTAGAGATGCATTGTATCTCTAGAGACCGTTGTTTCACCTTTCGCTTCCGCATTTCAGATCCATTATTCGGTCATCTTTTAGTCATCACTGACGCACCGGGTTTACAAAACTTGCGCCGTCACAAAGTACGCCTCATGTCCTAACCCCTCAATAGGGGATGACTTTAACAGATCGGTGAAATGGCAGAAGCATCAGCCAAAGAAAAAACTTGTTGAGTTCATTGATAGACCGAGCTGCTTCGTGGTTCACCCCTATTCCCGTGGTCCTCGCCTCAGCTTTTATATCCCAGAGATTGCGAGGAAAGTCTCAGGGGATGCCCTTAATCGCGTTTTGTACTTAGTGAATTTTGCCTTAATCTCAGAGGGTTATCTTCCTGCTCTCATCCTCCCCAACACTAGGGTGGGCAAGACTTATAATCTGCATAGGGTAGCTCACCAGTTTGGCTGGGACCAGGGGCTCCCTCGTGACTATGGCTGAGGCGCCCAACAGAACCGGGATACTTACAAGGTTGGCCTTTCCTACTTTCTTGACCCAAATGGTGGGGAACTCATAGGGGGGCGCCAGCTCCTTCGTGTCCTAGCCTGCATAAGGGAAGACCACTGGGGAAGGGCTCAAAAGCTTATTGGAAGGACGTGCTTCGTTCTTTCAAGCTGTTTGTCCAAAGTCCCCCTGAGCTAACTCCTACTCACCCCTTGATGAGGGGAGATGGCGTCTTTTGTCATCCAAAAAAGAAGAAGGGGGTAGCTCCTTCTCGAGGAAAGAAATACGATACTAAGGAACTCGTTCCCCTCTTCTTAACCACAGTTGATCTAAGCGCGACTCGGCTAACTCGACCCCTTCGTTCGAAAGGAAAAGCTGAGAAGGATGTTTCCTCCTTTGTCCCTGCTCCAACTTCTTCCAAGCAAAGCAAGGTTACTCCCCAAACTCTTTAATTAGTTTATAACATCACTCGTCCTTTGACCTGTCTTAACTTCTTATGCACTTTTTGTGTCAGGACTCTTCTCATGGTTCTACTCTTTTTTCTGCTAAGGGACCCAAAACTCTACCGAGGGTCTCCCTTCTGGCCAGAGGGTCTAGTACTCCACCAAGGGGCTTTCAGTTAGTTGTCTGTACAAGAACAGGCAGTGGCACTTGATCTCCACTTTTGCCAACTGAGGATGAAGCTCCTTCGGTTGTGGGGGAGGAGGGTGGTTTGGAGGTTCCTCTTTTATACCCTCGCTAGTGTCATTCTAGATCCTATCCATGCCATGAGGGAGGTACTTGCTTCTGATTTGAATGCTGAACGTTTGCCCCCCATTCACTCGGGGCATGGGATAGGAAAAGAACTTATTCCCCTAGCTCGAGGCCTAGGTCGCCTCACTGAGGAAGCGGAGATTGATACAAGGGCTAGGGGGCCCATGACTGAGTTCCCCTCTAGCCCTGAGGGTAGCTCCTATGCTAGCGAAGGTGAACCTTTTATCCATTCATCCTTGTTTGAGGCACCTTGTTAATGGTTTGTGTTTTTTGAGATGTGCTTTTGTTATGTAGGTAACGAGGAGGATGAGGTGCATGGTGATGAGGATACCATGGTGATTGACTCCGATGCCTTAGATCAAGGGGATGAGGATACCGTCAATGGCTTGCGTTCTCCAACTTAAGAGGCTCACAAGGGAGGCAATAGTGCATTTAATGATTTTGAGCAAGAGGTAGAGGAGGCTCGGCGAGCCCTTCCCTCTCCAGGTGTCAGCGAATCCTCAGGTGGCCTAAGTCCCTAAGGTTCAGAAGATGCATATGATGGGGGAGGCTCGAAAGATAAAGAAAATGATAATCCAGAAGATGATGCTCGAGTAGCTACCCCCCCCCCCCCCCAAACGCCCCTAGGGACCTCTCTCCCCTATAATTACCCCCCTTCTTTAGAGGGTAGCGTGGTTAAGGGTTTACAGGTCCTTGTCCTTTGGGGAGGTGTGATGATATCACAATCCCAAGTGCAGGTGCTAGAGGAGATCAAAGCCCAGTACCTCCGTAGCTTCGAAGGCTTTGATCAAGCTGCAGAGTTCTTTCTCACATTCATGTATAGGTCCTTATTTTGCTTGGTGCAAACTCTTGTGAAGCCAGAGAATGATGCATCGAGGGCAAGGACCTCGAATTCTTGGAGCGCGTTACAATTGATCTCAAAAGGGCTCAGGTGGAGGTGGGCTGGATAGAGGAGCTCATTACCAGGGTTAGGATTCATACGGATCAAGAGAAATGATTGGTTGATGTGAAGGACCTTCGTGACCACCTCATTGAGGAGGAGAAAATACTAGAATCAGAGGAGGCTCGCCTAAAGGAGCTACAAGAGCAGCTGGAGGAGTGTCGTTAAAGTGTGGCTTCCCTTAAGGTTGAGCTAGACTGGCAGCTTTCTTTGTTAGGTTCCGCAAGCCTAAATCTGTAGGGTCTACCGTAGTTGTACTTTATTATTTTTATTGTCACTTGCACTCTTTTAGCTTATAAGCATAATTTGTACTTAATGTAAGACTTTGCATTAATAGAAATAAGTTTTTGATTACATGGTTTACTGTCAGGCTTTTTTTTTTTTTTTTTTTTTTTTTTTTGCCTTTGCATTCAGTGATGAATGATAAGTAAAGAGAAAAGAACGAGAGTCACAATAGGGTGGGAAGTAAAGAGTCCCTCGAACCCCTATTCATCATTTTATTGAACAAAAGATAGGGTTTTAGTACCCTTTAAAGGTTAAAAGTTCAGGGCGGAAAGGGGACAGATACAGAAGATGTTAGTACTACTTTTAGGCGTAATACTTTTTTAACCATTTGGCGTTCAACATACCCATGGTCTTCCTGCTCCCCATTCTTCCTATCTCATAGTATCCACTGTCATTTGTTGCCCTGATTTCAAAAGGTCCCTCCCACTTGGGAGTGAACTTAGACACCGCGAGATTTTTCATGACATGTGGTGTAGCCTTCGGGACTAAGTCTCCCTCCTGAAATACCCGAGCTTTGACCATTGCATTATAGTCCCGGGCGAGTCTCTTCTGGTAGACTCTTAATTTGATTCGAGCTTGCTCCCTCTTTTCTCCCAACCCTTCCAGCTCTCCAATTCTTGGATCGAAGCTAACTTCACTTCTTGCTGCTAAGCTAGCGGAAGGAATGACGATTTCCACCGGGAGCACTGCTTCGGTCCCATAAACCAAAGAGAATGGAGTTGCGGTAGTGGGGGCCCTGGTGGTAGTTCGGTAGGCCCATAGCGTGAGGGGTAGTTGCTCTGACCATTTGTCCCGATTTTGCTTTACTGTCATGCTGAGTATCCGGATGAGGGTCTTGTTGGTTGCTTCAGCCTGCCCATTCCCCTTAGGATAGTAGGGGGTTGACTTGTGGTGGGTTATTTGGTAAGTTCCCAGAAGGCGGCGGACACGACTATTCACAAAAGGAGTTCCATTATCCGAGAGTATGATCCGAGGTACTCCGAACTGGCATATGATGTTTTCCTTAATGAAATTGGCCACAACCTGCCCCGTGTCCTTTGATAGAGCCTCCGCCTCTACGCACTTCGTGTACAATTCGGTAGCAACCAAAATCCATTTCTTCTTCTTTGACTTAGGGAGATCGAGCCTCTGAGATCTATTACCCATGTATAGAATGGCCAGGGGGTACTTAGCGAGTGCAGTTCTACCACTGGTGCGTGGATGGAGTGGTTGTGGACTTGACACTCATAGCACTTCTACACAAGACTTTTGCTATTTGCCTCTATTATGGGCCAGTAGTAGCCAAGGCGAATAAGGCGATCATATAACTTACGCTAACCCTGATGCTCATCTTCATGTGCCTGTTTCAAGACTTCACCTACCTCAATGCTATTCAAACAGCACTTGGGTGTTCCATCAAGCCCCCGTCTTACCAGCTCACCTCCACTGATAAAAAATCACGACGGTTCCCTTCTTATCAAGGCGGCTTTGCTTGGGTCTCAGGGGAGGTTTTGGTGCTTCAAATAATCCAAGAATTTTTGCCTCAAATCTTCCTGTTGTAGGGCTGCGTATTCGGGGACTTTGTGCCACTATTGACAAGTTGGGTAAGCTTTCTGCAAGGCACCTGCATCCTTTGACATGGAAAGCTAATAATAGCCCTGCCTTTGCACCCTCCGCTATAAACAAATTGAATTGTCTCCATATGTACTATCATGGATCTTTATGAGTTTCCTTTCAACCTCCTCAGGGCCGATGCATCTTGCCAAAGTGCCCCTCGGGGCTTTGTAATAGAGCTCCCCTAGATAGTGAAATCCTTCAGAATGGTAAGGGGGATGCTACCCTTTTCACCTTTCAGTTGCAGCTCGAATTCTTTTCGCCAGTCCTCATTTCCCCTTGGGTCAGTGAAATCCTCATTATAAAGGGACAACTTATTCCTTTTCTGGATCCTTATGTCAAACGAGTCACCAAGAAAACAAACCTTTGAGGCTAGGGTGGCCAGTGCATCCAGGTGCCGATTGGATGCCCTCGGGGCATGTGAAATGTGTAGTTCATCAAAGTATGAACTCAACTTCTGAATAGTGGTTCGGTATGCTGCTAGTGTGAGCTCTTTGATGGCATAGGTCCCGTCTAGTTGTCTCACTACCAGATTCAAGTCTCCCTGAACCCGCAGACTCTATAGCCGCTAGTAATCCCAACACTAGGGCTTCATACTCCGCAGTATTATTAGAGGCTCTTTCCCACGCCCTCCTCAGAGGTTAACACAATCCCAGCTCCCCCTCCTGTTGATGTGGACGATCCGTCGAAGGACAAGGTCTAAACTGAGTTCTCCGCTGTGTAACAAGCAGATTCAAGCTCTTCGTAGGGCAACTCTTCTGGTACAGGCTCGAGCTCCCCTATTGGGAATTGGGCAATCAGGTCTGTCAAGGCCTGGCTGCAGATGGCTGTTAGTGTGACATATTGAATGTCAAATTCGGATAAAATCAGAAGCCATTGAGCAACTCAGCCGGAAATGAGTGGCCGGGTTAGAAAGTACTTCAACAGGTCGCATCTTGTGATGAGGTATATTGTATGTGCTAGAAAGTAATGGCGAAACTTCTTTGTTACAAATGCGAGCGACAAACAATGTCGTTCAATGGGCAAGTATCTAACTTCTGCGTCATGTACCATTTTGCTAACATAGTAAATAGGGCGCTCAACACCATCCTTTTCTTGGGCAGGAGGGCCCCTATAGAGTGCTGGGTCGAGGTGATGTAGAGCCACAGGGGGATGCCCAGTTAGGGAGCCATTATTGCAGCTAGTGACGATAGTAAACTCTTTACTCGCTCAAATGCGCCCTGATGCTCCTTGCCCCATTCAAACTTTACCCCACTTTCATCAAGGACCCAAATGAATGGGTAACTTCTGCCAAAGCTGGTATGAAGCGGTGATGGTAAGAAACTTTCCCCACGAAGCTCTTCAACTGTTTGAGGGAAGAGGGTGGTGGCATGACAATAATTGCCCGGGCCTTGGCTTCCTCAATATCAATACCCTACCGGTGCACTACAAAGCCCAAGAACTTCACCGCTTCTACCCCAAAGGAGCATTTTAATGGGTTCATCCGCAGCTTATATTTTTGATATCTTTCAAATACCCTTCTCAAATCTGCCAGGTGATTCTCTTTGCATTGTGACTTTACGACCAAATCATCCACATAATCCTCCATATTCTTATGTAACATGTCATGAAAAATAGCAGTCATGGCCCACTGGTAGGTTGCCCCGACATTTTTTAAACCAAAAGGCATAACTATATAATGGAAATTTCCCATCGGGGTGCGAAAAGTTGTCTTCTCCGCATCGCTCTGTAACATTCTGATCTGATTATACCCACTATAACCATCTATGAATGAAAACATCTCATGCCCAGAAGTTGAATCGATCAATGTGTCAATAATTGGCAGAGAAAAGTCATCCTTTAGGCAAGCTGAATTAAGATCTCGAAAATCAACGCATACTCTGATCCACCCATCCTTCTTCTTAATAGGTATAATGTTGGCTAACCATGTGGGGTGCTGTATTGGCTTGATGAAACCCGTTTGTAGGAGCTTCTGAACCTCCTCCTTGATCTACAACTCAAGTTCTGGGCGGAAGCTTCTTTGTGTCTATTTTATCGGCCGAGCGTCGGGCCGAACATTCAAGTGATGCGCCACTACCTGTGGATCCAACCCCAGCATCTCATCATACGTCCAAGCAAAGACATCCAATAATTATTTAAGTAACGCTACCAATGCGGCCTTCTCCAATTCCCCTAAGTTTCGAGAAATATAGCATAGACGAGGCCGACCATCAGTAGATAGGTTTACTTCTTCCAAATCGGTCTGACATAGGCGAGCGGAGTTGGGCTGCATCAACTCGCGCTCCTTTTGGTACAAGTGGTTGCACCAAGCATGCCTCAACACGAGGGTGTGGCCTCTCTAGAGGCTTTACCCCCCCCCCCCCAACACACCTTTCATAAGTGGTAGAGAACCCTCCCACTTGACAACTTTGTTCTCTTGCAGGTAGGGGCTTTGTTGGTCGCCGAGGAAATACTTGATGGTACTCTACCAAGGGGAGACTGCCTCGAGATTAGGCTTTGAGTTCCTCCCATTTGGATAAAGGAATAGACCGTGGGGGTGGCAATTCATTTTCTTCATTCTCAAAGTGCTTGAAGAATCTCACCTCCACCATATGCGCCTCTCCCTCAGCAAAGGGATTCTCAAAGCATCTGACAGTGGTTTGTCTCCTGTTCCAAAAACCTTTCATGTACTGATGGTAAGAAGATAACACCTTTGAAAGACTTCAAGTGGTATTATGTTCAAAGAAGAGCCATTATCTAAGAAGGCTCATTTGAGCTCTACTCCATTGAGCAATGTGGTCACATAAAGCGATCGGTTATGAGGGGTTGGGATGCACTTGTCTTCTTCAGAGAATGTCAGGGTTCTGCCAGTCACCCCCTGTGGTTCCAACAATATAGGTGCCAGTGTAAACCCTTCGAGGTCTTTCTCTGTGGCGAGGAGGAGTGCCCAAGCGAGCTCCTTCTAGGCGAGTGAGGAAAAACCCATCTCCTGAAAGATTCTTTTAACATAAGGCACCTCCAAGAGCCAGAGGGCACGTAGCTGGCTATCTTCAACTAGAGCCATTTGATGCTCCTTGTATTTGACTTCCTCTTCATCTGGTTTCCCTATCACCATTATCGCGGTCCCTCTTTCGTGCAAAGGGAAAGGTTCTTCCCTGACATCCCTCGGAGGGAAGATACGGTCCCCACTGGCTATTGTTATTAGAAAGTGTTGCGTAGAGCCCAACAATCAGATGTAGGGTGACGGGTATGGCAGTGATAAATGCAGTACCTCAGGTGAGCCTGCTCTTCAGGGGTAGGTTCCCTGGCTATTTCGGGCAGAATGATATCTCCATACTGAATCCATTTTTTTAATATTGCCACCACTTCCTCCAGGGAACAGAGGAAAGGCAACGGTATCTCATCGAGATTCCTCCCCTTAGGTGCCTGGGATAAACCAGCTCCTTTCTTATTGAATGATATATCGGTAGTAGAAACAAGGAGGCGGCGCTTTCCCCTGTTATCTTCCGGGGCAATGCTTGGTCTTGTGACTACGAGGTTACTGGCTAGGTTACGAGCTACCACTATCAAATCTGCAAAGGTGGATAACTTCAGATTGACAAGATGAATTCAATATCCTCCATGCATTCCTTAGACACATATCTTGGCGAGCTCCTCTTCTTTATTCATCTCATAACACTCCATCGCTCTGTCATGGAACCTGTGGACATAACTCAGTAGGTCCTCGCCATAGACCTAAACCTCCTTAGTCAATGAGAGCGTGGTAATCCTTTCCTTTGCTTGGAAAAACTTGGCGTGGAAGAAAGCCGCCAGCCCTATCAGTAAGCATTTTGGAAAACTCTCTAAGTCAGAGGAAATGATCATTTCCAAATGGTCCTAAGGCTTTGATGAACCGTATGACATGCTCTCATGGGTTCCTTTTTTTTTCATCCAACTTGCTGAACTTCGATGCTATATACCCTAGGGGGTAGGGGAGAAGTGCCACGGCCTGAGAATAAGGGGGCTCGAGCACTACATCTTGTCAGAATCTAGTTCGTTCAGATTGCAACATTGCCTGTACATCTGCTATGGTGACGAATTGCAACATCGGCACAGGCTCAAGGGGGTACAGCGATCCTTCTGGGTTTTCACCCCTACGGGGCACCTTTTACTAGTATGAGTAGCTCGAAGACAATCTTGGGGGGGCTGTTTGAGGGGCACCAAACAAGGCTCGCCACACGGAGAGGGGTCCTTCATCCCCTAATGGTACCGACGGCGGGGGGCGCACCTTTCCTCGATTACTCGAAGACGAGGAAAAGGAGCGAAATGCTCCGGAGTAACCTAGCTCCTTTCTGACTCACTAAAGAACTCCCCCACCGGGGTACTCCTCTGGCGGCTATGTCTTGTAAGACTGCCACCATCTCCCTTTAAGTGTCCTCTAGTTTTTCTATCCTAAAGGAAAGGGAATTGTGAGCCTCAACTAAGGCATCTGGGAAAAGGATCCTTGTGCCCCAGGGATCCGTCTCTGGGACGCTGCTTGTGACTGCCTCCTCGCTGCTATCCGCGAGTGCAAGCCTGTTCTGTGAGGGGAGGCT